CAGCAACTCCACTGAAAATGAGAAATGTAACCATCAAAACCTTAAAGGACATTCCATTTGAAATTAGACAAAAGAGGAAAAATTACAAGGACTTAATTTCTTTTCTTCAAACTAATGGGATATCGTACAGGTGGGCGGTTTCGGAGGGTGTCATCTTTAAGATCAACAATAGAAGAGAGAAGATAGACTCCACTTTTAAAGCCAAAGAATTTTTTAGACGGCAGCTGGGGACAGACGAAGAGTCCAAAGAGGAAGAAACGAAGTCTAGTGACTCTGCTACCTCGGGAACGGAAGAGGATTCTGTGGCAGAAAAGGGTGCGGGACCAGCCAGAGTGGTATACGATTTTAGAGACAGAAAGCCGAAGTAAAGGCAGAAGGACTTGGAAAATGGCCTTTTGAAGCGAAGAATAAGAAGATGATCAGAGACTTCTCTCATAACAATTAACAAAATAACATATAAATAGTGAATTGTTATAAGCAAGAACTCTACAAGTATATTGTGATACTAAAACTAATTGTACTAACATTTTTACTAACAGTGAAAAGATCTCCTCCTCTTGGGGTTTTAGTTTAGTGTGGTTTGCTTTCCTTTATCCTTAGTTGTAGTCCCTTCCCTAATATTTCTTTGTAGTTTTTGTAGTATTTGCAAAATAAAAAAAATTCCCTCTGGGGACTTATAAAAAAAAAGAATCAAGATGGATCCTTGAACTTAGGTGTTTGATCAGTAGTCTTAGTTAAAGTTGTAGCAAATAAGGGCCAATAATTTGTTTCAAAATCAGACACATAGCTTAGCTATGGTGGTTGGTTGCCTCTTTGGTGTAGTGGTTAAGAGTAGCCGGCTCTAATCTGGAGAACCAGGTTTGATTCCCTGCTCCTCCACATGCAGCCTTCTGGGTGACCTTGGGCCAATCACAGTTTTCTTAGAGCTGTTCTCTCAAGAGCAGTTCTCCCGGAGCTCTCTCAGCCACACCTACCTCAAAGGGAAGGCGATTGTAAGCTGCTCTGAGACTCTGGGTAGTGAAAAGCAGAGTATAAAAAACAACTCTTCCTCTTCCTCCTCTTCTTCTAAGTCAGGGGTCCCCCACGTGGTGCTTGTGGGTGTCGTGATGCCTGCCAGCCCCTTTCCTGGTGCCCAAGAAGTGTGTTTAGAAAGTGGGTGTAGTCATGTAGGGGTCTTGCCCAGCAAGGCTTCTGATTGGCCACTATATGATTGACTGTGCAGATAAAATAGTGTTATTTCAGCGATAGCTCCTATCACAGTGTTGGTTTTATTCTCTTCTACCTCTCTTTCCCAGTGGATTTTAAAGTTATCTCTCTTCCCCCCTGCACTTGGGGTTCCTCTGTGTGTGTAGCTCTGCCGGCTCTCTTCCCCCCTGCACTTGGGGTTCCTCCGTGTGTGTAGCTCTGCTGGCTGCAGCAGTCATTTTGTAGTGAAGCCCACCGCCTCATGTGAGAATTTTAAAGGCGCCCACAGGCTCGTAAATGTTGGGGACCCCTGCTCTAGCGGTGAGGAGAAATTAGCTTGTGTTGGCTCCCGTCAGTGTGTTAAATGAGCCTGAAGTGTCTTGCTTTGACCATAATACTTTTAATTTTCTTCTAGTTTCTAGAATTTGCAGCCAGACTCGAGGACAGGGGGAGGCGGCTCCCACCTTGAAGCCATGACGGAGGCTGTTGACCTGTCCTTTCTCTCGGAGGCCGAGAGGGATTTGATCCTCCAGGTCCTCCAGCGGGATGAGATGCTCCGGAAAACTGAGGAGAGGAGAATTAGGTGAGAAGACAAAATGGGGAGCTGGACGTGGTCAGCAAGGTTTGGTTAAGTGTCAAGATGCCAAGGCTAGGAAAGTGACTGCAGGGTCAAAAATGCCACCGTTGATGTGTTAGAAGACTTAACGATGTGTAGGTTTACTCAGATGTTGGGTTCAGTTTGGCTTACTCCCAGGTAAGTGTGCATAAAGAATAGGGGGAGCCTGTGGAATGGGAACATAGCCTGCAGAAGGCCTGTGTGACTCATGACACCTGCCCAAGCAGTGCACAGCATCGACTGCTTGATTCAATTCCTATTTTGATTTCTTGCCTAGAAGGGCAAAAAACAGGAGTTACCAAACACCCAGCAGGGCCAGGTTACGCGGCTGGTGATTGATGGGTTGCCCTTTGTGTCCCAGAGGATTCTGGGTGTTCTCCATTCACGTGGCCCTTGTTGGTTGTGGAGGCCAAGTTAGTTTTCTCTTACCAGTACTGGAGGTAGAGACTAGTTACCCAGTTCTATCCCATGGTTGTTAATGGTCCTTTGCTATGACCTTCCTCCTTTTTTGGTGTAGTGGTTAAGTGTGCGGACTCTAATCTGGGAGAACCGGGTTTGATTCCCCACTCCTCCACTTGCACCTGCTGATGTGACCTTGGGTCAGTCACAAGCTCTGGCACAGCTGTCCTTGAAAAAGAGCAGTTTGTGTCAGAGCTCTCTCAGCCCCACCCACCTCACAGGGTGTCTGTTGTGGGGAGGGGAAGGGAAAGGAGTTTGTAAGCCGCTCTGAGACTCCAAGTGAAGGGCGGGGTATAAATCCAATCTCTTCTTCTCTTCTTCTTCTTCCGTCAGGGCCCTGGTAGAGAAGAGCAATGTGGCATTTTGTGGAGGCTTTTTCTTTACGATCAGTGTAGACTCCTTGTAATGCTTCTATTCCTCCCCCTCTTCCCCGGGCTTTTATTTATACAGCACCGTCAGTAATAAAAATTAGAGGTGGGGTGGTGGCTTTGTTGGTGATTTGTTGTCTTTCCTTTACTCCTTGCTTGATTGCTGAGTTCTGTATAATTGCCTGTTAATCTCTTTTTCTCCCGGCAGCATGCAAAAACCGCTGCCCATGATAATGTCCTTCCTGGTGATTTCACCAGGTGGGAGTGACTTGTGAATTTCTCTCCTATACATTATGCAGAACGAGATGGCAGGGTGAAGTGGTTGAATATTGGAATATGCCATTTTAGATTCTAGGGTATGCATGTGACATATTTTGAATATTCTTCTAAGGAAGATGATGATGATATTATGGCATTGTGTGTAGAATAGCCAGGAGATCCTAAGATTGTCTGGCAGCCAGAAGTTCTAGCTCTTTTAGCGTTATGCACCACTAGGTGACTGGGCTTCTAAGGCTCTTATTACACAGTGGTGATTCTCTGTGGACCTTTCACTGCTGTTGGGAGTGCAGAGTTAAATGCAGTGTGGTAACAGAGCTTCCACACAGTTTCCTCCACATTTTCCTTGTCTCACTGCTCTCACAGCTGTTATTTCTTCCTGGAGAAGTGAATGGTGACTCACAAAAGTTCGTATTGAACTTAATGTTTATCTTGAAGGTGCCAGTGGACTTTTGTTTTACTATGCTACAACATACCAAAATGGCTTCCCCTTTGCAATCATTTCCTTCCCCCATCACTGGAGAGGATTTTTGGCTTTTGAACAAATTGGCAATCGCTAGATTGCTATAGAGCAATAATGTTATAACAATCTACTGTCTGATCTACAAACCACTTTGGATTCTTTCATTTTCTGGAGAATTTTTTAAAATGAAAATTGAAAATTAAAAAGAACCTGTAGATTGTGGCAGTAGATTTGTTATAAAGTTATAGCCCTATACCAATGCTCCCTCTAAGCTGTGAGCAAAATTTTTACTTTGTGGGCTACTGGCATTAAAGTTGTGAGTGAGCCATTTGGCTACTGCATAAATTAGTTTGCTCTGTAGCCCTCCTTCCTGAGCTAAGACAAAAATCTGTGAGCCGGAGGCTAAAAATCTGTGAGGTAGCTCACACTAACTCAGTTTAGAGGGAACACTGCCCTATACTGATCTAGCAGTTGTTGATTTTAAAAAAGGCCTGTTAGTGGCATGGGAAGAAATTATGGTTATTATGGGGGTGGGGCTGACACAAGGAAAATGGTGCTGATGCGGGCAAGCCTTTAAAAAATGCATGTGTTGCCATCCACGTGGTGTGTGAACTGGCTGTGATTTTAAACTTTCGAGAAAAAGAATATAATAAAAGCGGGGAAAACCAAGAAAGTGAGTGATTAGGGGACAACATTGTGTGGATGCTGCAATGTAAAACCTCACTCCAGTCTGGTATGCAGAAGCTCTGCATGGAAGCAACTGAAGTTAATATCCCTCTTCATGTCTCGAACTTGTGGACTGGTTTAGTGGAAATCCTCTCCATGATGTGCTAGCTTATTGCATATAAGGAGCCGTTTTACAGGAAAGGGCATTCAAAACATCTGAAACACCACCACCCCTTAGTGCAGTGGTGCAGCCCAGATTTCAACCTGTTTATTCTGTGTAATGTGAAGTCTAGTTCTGGTCTCACAGGGATACACACACACACACACACACACACACACATATACTTAAAAAGGTAAAGGTTCCCTTGCTCGAAAGCCAGTCGAATCCGACTCTAGGGTTGTGGTGCTCATCTCCGTTTCAAAGCCGAAGAGCCAGTGCTGTCCGAAGACGTTTCTGTGGTCGTGTGGCCGGCATGACTAAACACCAAGGCGCACGGAACGCTGTTACCTTCCCACCGAAGTGGTCCCTATTTATCTACTTGCAATTTCTTGCTTTCGAACTGCTAGGTTGGCAGGGGCTGGAACTAGAGACGGGAGCTCACTCCGTCATGCGACACCCGGGTCTCGAACTGCTGAACTACTGACCTTTCACAGCCTGCAGTTCAGCATCTTAACCACTTGAGCCACCGCAGCTCCTCACATATATTTACATCAATGTTCCCTCTAAGCTGTGGAGTCTTGTGAGCAAAAATTCTACTTTGCGAGCTACTGGCATTAAAGTTGTGAGCGAGCATTTTGGCTACTGCATAAATTAGTTTGCTCTGGAGCAAACTTCCTGATCAAAGATAAAAATGTGTGAGCCGGAGGCTAAAAAACTGTGAGCTAACTCACACTAACTCAGCTTGGAGGGAACATTGATTTACATATGTATAAAATCTCCTTCCCTGCAAATAGAGGACTGTACACCAATAGGAATGGTCCTACCCTTTCACTTTGCTATTAATTTAGATATATATTCTTGCTTTTCTTTTTATTGGGGGACCACATACAACACTGTTGCCCTCTTTTCCTCTGGGAGGTAGGCTAGGCTGAGAGTCCGTGACTGGCCCAAGATCACCCAAGGAAGCTTCCATGGCAGAATGGGGATTTGAACCTGGGTCTCCTAGTCTGGCTCTAACCACTGTCCCATGCTGGCTGTCTTATATACTAGCACATTCCAAATTGTAAACCTCCATAATGTACCACCTGTAGCCTGAAGTGATGCAGTCTGTCCTTCCCCCTTGCGTTCTGCAGTCTGTCCTTCCCCCGTTTCATTCCTACCGTGCTCTCCTGCATGTATGAGCTTGGCCTGAGAGCCGTGCCATGCCATGCCGTCGCTGTCCTCTGTAACATAACATAAGAACATAAGAGATGCCAATGTTGGATCAGGCCAAAGGCCCATCCAGTCCAACACTCTGTATCCCACAGTGGCCAGAAATACCAGGTGCCATCAGGATGTCCAGCAGTGGGGCCAGGAGATTAGAAGCCCTCCCACTGTTGACCCCCCCCAAGCACCAAGATGACAGAGCATCACTTGCCCCAGAGTCCCTATCTATACCTTGTGGCTAATAGCCACTGATGGACCTCTGCTCCATATGCCTATCTAATTCCCTTTGGAAGCCGTCCATGCTTGTAGCCGCCACCACTTCCTGTGGCAGTGAATTCCAAGTGTTAATCACTCTTTGGGTGAAGAAGTACTTCCTTTTATCCGTTCTAACCCGACCGATCAGCAATTTCATGGAGTGCCCACGAGTTCTTGTATTGTGAGAAAGGGAGAAAAGTGCCTCTTTCTCTACCTGCTCTTTCCCATGCATAATCTTATAAACCTCGATCATGTCACCCCTCAGTCGTTGTTTCTCCAAGCTAAAGAGCCCCAAGCGTTTTAACCTTTCCTCATAGGGAAAGTGTTCCAACTCCTTTATCATTCGAGTTGCCCTTTTCTGCACTTTCCCCAAAGCTATTATATCCTTTTTAAGGTGTGGTGACCAGAATTGCACACAGTATTCCAAATGAATAAGGCAAGCCTGGCCTGAATCGACTGGCATCTGTGTCTTGGGAGCAGGTGGGGTGGGGAGGGGTTCGGGGTTACCTTTGCCATGCCTCGATCCTGGGTCATTCCTGTTCTGCCACTCCCAACAGGCGCCTGAAGAACGAGCTTCTGGAGATCCGCAGGAAAGGTGCCAAGAGGGGTAGCCAGCGCTACAGTGAGCGGACATGCGCCCGTTGCCAGCAGAGCCTGGGCCGGATCAACCCCAAAGCCAACACCTGCCGTGGCTGCAACCACCTGGTGTGTCGGGACTGCCGTGCCTATAATGTGAACAGCTCCTGGCGCTGCAAAGTCTGCACCAAGGAGGCGTAAGTCTGGTGGCCTCAGCCGGCTCTCACTGTTCCCTATTCCCATCCTGGTATCTTCCTTTGTTCTGTCTCTGGATCTACGCGTACAGCCTCGTTTCTAACATCTTGGACTCTCTGCTTTTCATTTAAAAGGCCGCCAGTGGGATTCTACCCTTCGTGGTTCCATCTGGATCTAGTAGCTCCTGCTTCTGAATTCAGGATCTCTGATTTACCTGCTTGGCAATCAGATCTTTCCTGTGTTCTTCATTTACCTAGGACGGCACTTTATTTCGACCACCAGATGATCGCTTCTGCAAAATCCCCAAAACATCAAGGATGACAGTTTCAGAATTCATTGGGCATGTTCGGGGAAATTAATGAGGGCTACGAACTTGGTTCTCTTTTTAAATTAAGGTTGCAGTGTTCAGGACCAGAAACACAGAAGCTGGATGTACTGCTGCAGAAAGCCAGATTAAATATATTCATATTTTAAGAATTCCAAAATGTGCAGGTTCAAATACAGTGAGGAATCCCGTGATCTTTCTGTTTCAGGGACAGCCCTTTTCATCAGCTAACTTTTATGAAGGTATTGAAAGACATCTGATATCCCTCTGTGTTAAATAACAACAGATTTCATTTAGCATGCCCCACTTCACTTGGTCAGTTTTGGGGCTTCTTTGATTTGGCATGTTTAAGATGTTTACAAGTTTGTATGTGGGATTTGCTGTATGGAATTTATTGTTGTTAACAGAGGTCATTTTGGGGGGGATCGCGGGGGATCGCAGTTCCCCCGGGTGAGGTACGGGGGGGCGGGGTACATGACGAAGCCCTGCCCTCTGCTTCCGGCCGCCCCACTTCCGGCCCTCATTCAGCCAGGAGGAGGCAGGAGAAGAGGGAGGGTAAGTTGCTTCCTCCCTGCCTCTCCCCACCCCTGCCTGCCTGGGGCCAGGGAGGGCCTTCGCGGGGCTTCCTTGCACTCCCGCCGGTCTTGCAGGTCCACCGCCGGGCCCCTCATGGGGCTCGGCAGTGGAGCTGCAAGGGCGGCGGCCAGGACCGTTGGGGGCAGGGTGTGTGGCCTTATGACACACTTCCGGTGATGTCAGGGGGTGAGGACTTATGACACACTTCCGGTGATGTCAGGGTGTGTGGCATATGCTAATGAGTTATGCTAATGAGTTCCCCTAGCTCTTTTTCTACGAAACGACCCCTGTTTGTTAACATGCAGATATATGTTTATTTATTTCATTGAACTTTTATACCACCCTCCCACTGAAACAGGAAGATTCTTTGATTGCTTTTAAATAATTGTACAATAACTTCTAGTTTCGTACTCTTGTAAAATGTGGTGATTATACAAAAATCTGGTTTAGATTTATGTTTGCAGTGCTGTATTCGGTTTTTGTTTGTGCATGCCCGAATTCGTGCTCGCATGAAGTGGTGAAAAGTGACCATAGGCTTGTTCTGAGTGATCTGTTGAAGCTCTCTGTTCTTTCCCTTCAGGGAGCTCAAGAAATCAACTGGGGACTGGTTCTATGACCAGAAAGTAAACCGTTTTGCTAACAGGCTGGGCAGTGACCTCATTCGAAAGTCCCTGCGGCGCAAGCCACAAGGTGAGGTATCTTGACAGCCATCCTTGTGGAAGAAAGTAGGGAAGTGGAAATCGTTCCAAAATAGTCCTCCCTCATGGCTGATACCATCGCCAGTGCATATTCTTTGCACACTCCTGGCCTGGCTCACTTGCTTGAGCTATCTGGATCAGTTTTACCCTGCTTGTATCAGTGTGTTTCTCCCCAGATCTCCCTCATATCCATGCTTTCCCTTTATGTTCTGAGGGAACATGCTTCAGAGCATTAGATCCAGGGGGGATAAATTTGGGAACTCATCAAAGCATTCTCAAATTCAGACATCTCTTTCCTGGGTGCGGAGGGTGGCCTTTGTGGGTTGCGACCTTCGGCTTTCCTTGACTCTTGTTTCCTTTCTTAGCTAACAAAAGGGAGACGATGGGGCAAGTCCTACTTCAAAAGGCCCAGCTTGGTGATCCCAAAGCTGGGCAAAAGAGCCCCCAGCAGCACCGCAAGGAACCCAGGTGAGTCTCCTTCCTGTAGATGCCGCTGTGCCTTTTTGAATCCAAGGCTGGAAAACCCAGTATTCTTCATCGTGGGCTGATCGTGGCCAGCCGAGCAGGGAGCAGCCATTAGGAAGGATGCTAGCTTCAGGATTCGGGGCTGTAGTTTGTTAGAGAAAGGAAATGTCATATGGTGTGGTAAGACTGTAGAGATTCACTCTCAAAACACTCCCAACTCAAGGCTGATCTGCGTAGAATATGATAGGTGGATCTGGAAGAATGGAGGAGGGGAGGCTCCACTCCGTTTGTGAGTCTGGGATAGGCAGGTATGAATACTGGCCTACCTGGCAGAGCTGTTGGTGAGGGTTGCTGAGGGATGAGCTGGGTATAGGGTTGCCAGTCTCCAGGTGGGGACTGGAGTTCTGGAGTTACAACTGACCTCCAGACTACATAGCTCACTTGTTTATTTATTTATTTAAAATAGTTATTCCACTTCTCCTGAAGAAAATGGCTGCTTTGGAAGGTGGGCTTCGTTGCATTATACTCTGCCGAGGTCCCGCCCTTCCTTAAGCCTCCCTCTTCCTGGCTCCACGCTCAAATCTCGAACCTGGAGTTGGCAACCTGGACAGGTGAAAGATCTGTGACTAGCTCCTCAGCATCTCTTCTGCTGGATAACTAGTATCTGTCCACTGATCCACCCAAATTCATATCAGAGTCACAGCATTGGAGGGACGTGGGGTGCTAACACTTTTTCCTGACCTCGGAGGTCTGTTGGGGGAAACCTTACAGGCTACAGACAGGGTATATGTTTTCCTACTTGGGGCAGATAGGAGCTTCGGGGCTGTTCTGAACCTACAGGGGAAAGTGAACCACACTTCCTCCCCATCCCCAGTGGCGCAGCTCTGATCCTATAGCAGCCCCTGCGGCTGCGATGTAACATTAAAAATGCACTGGAGAATTCAGTCATGGCTCTTTTAGTATCTCATTGGCCATCACCCTCAGATGCTGTATGGGAAGGGCTCTGGACTTTCTCTAAAGAGCTCCTTAAATGCACGGTAGTAGAAGCTGCAGTAGTGTTCCGGGCAGGGGTCATTTCGTAGAAAAAGAGGTGCAGGAGCTCATTAGCATAACTTGTTAGCATAACTTACTTGCATATGCCACACCCCCTGACATCACCGGCAACACCCACCACTCAGGCTCCACTGGACAGTTTTGGATTGGGGGGGGGGGAGCGCGCAGATCTGCCCTCACAGAGGAGGGAGAGCTTGTACCTGAATAAAACTTGGTCTTAAAGGTGCCACTGGACTGTTTTGGATTGCTAGCTATGGGAATGCGCAGATCTGCCATCACAGAGGAGGGAGAGCTTGTACCCGAAGGCGGGCCGGGGGAGGGGGGCTCTGCAACTTACCTGGCTGCTTCTTGCTCTGACTGAGGGCTGCTGGGAGCAGGGGGTGGGGCTTGCTGCATGTGCCCACCCCTTGGGCTCCTTACTGCCGGAGCTCCGCTCCTGTGCGCTCCTGCAGGAAATGACCCCTGGTTCTGGGTGACATTGTGAACCTATAATTTTCTTTAAAACAGGTCATGTTAACTCTGGCTAAGATGGAGGGAAAATATCCTGGCTGCTTTTCTTAAGCTAAGCAAGCTTGGATGTATCTCTTGTCCAGTCTCTTGGTGGCCCTGGCAGCAGAAGGGCTTAAGGTCCTTCTCCTGGTCCCATTTCTCTTCCCTCCCCACCTCTCAAGTCAGGGCATGTTCTGCTGTTCCCCAAGGCTGTCCTTGTTGGTCTTCCTTCCAGCTTGGCCTCAGACTCTGTGGAGCCACGAGATGCAAAGAGTGACACGGAATCGACTGAGAACATGAGTCTAGATGGGTACCATCCTGCCTCTGCTCCCATAGCAGCCAGGTGAGAACGACTGCCTCCCCTTCATGCTTGCTGGCCACCTTGGTCTGCCAGTCAGCTTGTTGTGGTCTGATGGATCTGAAATGGTTGGGCGGTGTGAAAGGGGAATAGCCAGTGGAGGAGTCTCATGTCCTTCTCTGATTGTGCTTGTGTTTTGCTGTATTTCCTTGCAGCCCAAGGCGAGAGAAGACGAAAACTCTCAGCCCTTCAGGGTCCAACGCATCCAGCTTGACCATCTCTGTCCGCTCCAGAGAGGCTCTTCCTTCCGATTCAGACAGTGTAGGTTCACTCTTCTACTTCTCTCGGGACTTCCACAAATGAGTAATGGATGGATGAACTTGTCTATTTGGAATTGACTTCGTATTGGTGTGCTTTCTGGATAAACAGCTTGGTTTTTAGTGTTCTTCCCCAGCTCTGTGTCGGGGTTTGGTTATTGTGCTATTGCCCTTTGGTAACTTACTTTTGACTTCATCTGCCCTTCCCCCACTCCATAGTACCAGCTGTGGAAATTTATCTCTCCTCGTGTCCTTCTCCCAATCCAATGAACATGCCAGAGAACAAGTGGATTTTTGCTCTGGGTGAGGGAATGGTCCCTCGGAATATTCGCAGGAAAAATGAAGGAGGCGAATTGATCCATGTTTGTCTAGAATATTGTTACACTGATGTAGCATTATACCAATAGGCGTAACAGATTTTCTTAACTCTTACACAAGCCCATCCCCATGAGGAAATCACCCAAGATCCTGAGCATGTACAGACTATTTTCAGCAGACAAAGTACCTAAACCCCAGGGGTTTTCTTGGGGCACACACAGAAATTTTACTACGGAAGACTCTCATTTATTGATATGAACTTCAAACCCAGATCACCGAGCCAAAAAGCCTTTTGTTTAACAAGCTGCTTCTCTCTTTAGGTCAATCAGTAGGAAAGAGCAAGCGTCCAGTAGCACCTTAAATACTGACAACATTTGTGGCAGGGGATGAGCTTTCTTCAGTCACTGCTCACTTCTTCAAATAACAGGTTTTGTGAGTCATTGCTCACTTCTTCAGATACAGCGAGAATGACATTCTAGCTTTATCTGAAGACATGAGCACAGCTAGAAAGTAGCACAACAGGACTTGGTGCTTCTTAAAGTTGGCGTCAGCTGCATGTGGCTCGAGGAATGTGGCTCACTTCTGGGTCCTGCCTGTAACAGTGGTGTAATGCTTAGGGTGTCAAGCTAGGATCTGGGAGACCTGGGTTTGAATTCCCTCTCTGCCATGGAAGCTTGCTGGGTGACCTTGGGCCAGTCACTTTCAGCCTAACCCACCTGACAGGGCTTTTCTGAGGGTAAAACGAAGGGGAGGAGAACAACGTCATTTGCTGTGGACCACCACTGAGGAGAAAGGTGGGATACACGTGAAGTAAATAAAATGGTATGAAGGATGAGGGGATGTTTGACTGTTTCCCGTCCAGGAAACTCGTCTGGGGAGCCGAGGTACTGCTTCAGCCGATGAGGGTGAAACTTTATTCAAGAAGAATCCTAGGAGAAGTCAGAGATCTTCAGGTAAGCAATCTTAATGCAGGACCTCTCTTGATCTCTCTAGAGTTATCCGCTGATTAGCAGCAACTTTTCAAAATCTTGGACAGGTTTTCTAGGCCTTATTAACCTGAGATGCTTCAGGAGCCACTCTTCTGTGCTTTTTTAAAAAAGTTGAATGCTTGCGCACAAGTAGACCTTATACAGGGTTACCATATTTTGGAAAGCAAAAAAAGAGGACGTATTTCTCGACTGACTACTTCAAACAAGTGATCAATACGACACATCTCATTTTAAATACCTCTCCTATTTAATTGCTACTAACTAGGAATATTCCTAACCTTCCAACCCAAAAAGAGGACATTCTCTTCAGCTTTTTTATAAAGAGCCCAAAAAAGGATGGACACCGAAAACAGAGGACATCTGGTACCCCTCCCTTATACAGAGTCAGACAATTGGCCTGTCAAGGTCAGTCTTGTCTCGTCTGCCTGGCAGCAGATCTTCAGGGTCTTGTGCATCACCTGATATTACTTTAACTGGAGATACCACAAACTGAACCTGGAATCTTCTGCCTATAAAACTGTGCTCTTCTGCGGAGCTATGGACCTTCCCCTCATAGTTACCTTTGGCTATAAGTGTGTGGAACAGCCATGAAGAAGCTGCCAAGGATGGCATCTTCTTCCTTTGAGGGCTTTTCAGAAGGAAGTTTGGACAAGCCCCTGTCTGATGTCTTGCCGTGTTGACTAATACTCTTTTTGGGGAATTTTTGTGTGTGCATTTTTGTGAGTGTGCGGGTGTGTGCCCATGCCTGGAAGTCATGGTGACCTCTGGCGCCTCCTGCAGGGACATGGAGGACCTTCAGAGAAGTAGCTTGATAGCCTGCCTCTGGCCTCCCGACCCTGGTGTTCCTTGGAGGTCTCCCATCCAAATACTTGCCAGGGTCGGCCCTGCTTAGCTTCTGAGATCTGACGAGATCGGGCTTGCCCGGGCTATCCAGGTCAGGGTGTCTAATCCTCTTGATGGGTTAAAAAGGTCAGCTTACCGTCTTGGCCTGCAGATGGCCAGCTCCTCATTCCACCTGCCGAGCTGCAGTCGTGCCCCCTGCCTGGAGATGATGTAGAAGTCTTGGGAAGGAAGAGGCTCCTGACCACCTTGGCCTGCAGACTGACAGCTCCTCATTCCACCTGCAGAGCTGTAACTTCGCCCCCTGCCTGGAGAGGATGTAAAGGCCTGAGACTGGGAAGGGAGAGGCTGCTTATTACTTTGACCTACAGATTGTCACCTTTTTCTTTATTTTGCTTCCCTGTTCTTCATATCTGATTGTATTATTTTTTTTTGTCTCCGAAGGTGGTTTCTTGCGGATACAGTTTTTGAGTTTTGTCGCAATAGCCGCTTTGAATTCTGTGTTTCAGGAGAAAAGTGGCATAGAAATATGGCCAGTAAATCTAGGCAGTGGTCCCAGGCCCCTCCCAGCTCTGTGATGCTGAGACGGCTGCTTTTCTGATCCCTTGTGCCGCCTCTGTTGCAGAATACACCAAATCAGTGATCGACCTGCGACCGGAGGTGCCCAGCAGTGAAAGTGCGTCTCTCGGAGACAGAAGCAAGTCTGTGCCGGGCCTCAATGTTGAAATGGTGAATCTCTGTCAGGAGGGAGTTGCAGAGTTGTTGGGGTTGCTGTGGAGAATTGCTCTCTGTGTTCCTGGGGTGTTTTACTTTAGTGCAGGGTAGTACTGAGAGTGTTCTTTCAGTCGATTTTAAGATGAAATAGAGAGATCGGGGAAGAGGTAGTCCTTTAAGCCGAGCCAGGCCAATGAGAGAAGCAGAATAAGAATAAGCGATTGCTTGGGTACCAGAAACCCACAGGTGCCTGCCTTGGGCATGCTAAAGCATTGAAGAGTGAGCCATGGTCTGCAGTTTTTCAGAGGCGGCTTAGAAGCAGCGATGTGGAGGATGGACGCAGTTGTAAAAGGGAAGTAGCACAGATGGAACAAAGGCTAAAAACCAGAGGACTGATATCCTGACCGGCGCGGCGTGTGGTCGAAGGAGGGTGGTGCGTGGGTATGCCTTCAGTTTGTTAGAGAGCCAAAAGCCTTGGGTCAGCACTGCCCTTGTGTGTGTTGCTGGGCTGGTGCTGTGTAGGGATTTCGAGGTTGAAACCAACTCCGTGTCTTTTCCCTGGAGGAGGAGGAAGAGGAAGATATCGACAGCCTGGTAGAGATTCACCGGCGGAGGACGGCCAGAAGCAGCATGCGCAGCGGTGTGTCCTCGGTGAGTCCCGGAACCAGTCACTATCGCATACAAAGTTTAATAGGATACCAAATAGGTCATTTAGAGGGATGACTGACGCCAGGGAGGACGATTCCCCCTCCTGTCTGTGGAGGACGGAACAAAGGGCTTAAATGACAGGGAATGTAGCTTGAACACTGGCCCAGAACCTTCCTGAACATGCAGGTGGATCCCATAGTCCAAGTTTGACTGGATTGTACCATTCATACTGCAACTGGAGATCTGCATATTTGAATGTTCCCCTTCAGAATAGAAATCCTTGTGGATTGAAAACTTTCTCTGATGTGATAAGGGTTCTCGGTTAACCATCTTTCTGAAATGTTACAGTTTTAATGTGCAGGGGTTTGGGATATTTGGGGGTGGGGGAGAGACATTTAAAGACGCAGTTCCCCGCTTGCAGCCTGAATGGTACAGTCCAGGAAAATGTGGTCTTGTGACTCTGCAGGATGAGTAGATCTTCTCTAAGAGTAGTGCAGCAATAGAAGTAGACTGCAGAGGGGTGTTCCTTGGAGGCTTGAGTGAAAGAATGGGGGGGGGCATCAGACGGGCTGCTTTTGGTATCTTTGTCTGGTGCTCC